CCGGGAAGCGATCGACTGAATGGGTCGCCAGGTTACCTAAGGTGGTGTCGGCAATCAACCATGAAGTCACCCGCCTCACCGGCGCAAGAAACCGCAGGCGCTTATCAAACTAAAATCAATAGTGGCAGAGTCGGCTGCTCCATTGCGCGGGGAAGGAGAAACAGATACCAGATAGGGCCCTAGTGAGGTATCTATACCAGCCGGGGGAACATGAGGGTGATAGTCGTAAGCGAGCCACCGATCCTATATGGTCAGTCAAAACTTACAACATAGATAAAGTGGACATGAAAGCAGACGAACCTAACTTGTACTACTTGAGGGATGGGCCAGGTAGAGGGCTCGTTAGACAGGAATTATTGATCGTACCGTACGGCACAATGTTACCTCCTGTAGTGATGATGCAATGATGCAATCCCAGGATAGACCCATTAAACCGAGATACTCCAGCTAAGTCCCCGGTAGCTCAATCGGTTGAGTGGTGCGGCCCATTATGTATAGTTTGCGCGAGCTATACATGTGGGTTCATATCCCGCCGTTGCCTCAGGAGATTCCTTGCAACTTTGTGTGATGTGAGGTGTTTCGGTAAGGAATCAAGATCATATCAGTTGGGTCGCTGAAAAGGGCTTAGCTGAGCGGGGCACTCTCATGGTGAGAGAAAGGCAGCCGACGCAATTCCCCTTGGGAGAAGCGCAACATCATCTTTCGATTTCACCCTTGGGGAATTGTGGCTGCCGGGGACATTTTACTACTTTTTAGAACCTTTCTATCTTTCTATAGTGCCACGTGTGGGCAGGAAATCAACGGGGGCTCAAAAGTAGTAGATACAATGGTAGCAAGAGCTAAGGGTCCGACCAAAGCCTTATTTGGGAAATAAGGCTTTGCAGTGGGTTTTGTTGCACTTGGTCCCGGACAATCATTGTATCTACTACTCCAAATGTCATCAAATATATTGGGTAGTGTTTCCAAACTTGAATCAGGGAGGTGTTTTAGAAGCTGATAATGAATATCATCAGCTCCTGCTGCAGTGTCGTGAGCCTGCCCCAGGGCAGTAGGTAGTTCATGGAGAGAAAACGTTTCATTGTAATCCTCACCATAATAATAATAAGGGTGTCAGCGCTTTGAGCATGCTTTGTTGCGTGGAGATTAGCGCATTATGAGACTTCTCATTATTATTATTATGTTTTACAGATTAAAGATAGTATGCAGCAGAGAGAGTTCGGGTGATCCTGGCACAGTCAGGCTGGTAAGGCTCATCATCAGGTCAGGGCCCTTGCCCCCTCTACACGCAGTCAAGACAGCGAATGAGACTTCTCCCAGGAAACGCTGCCTAGTCGAACCCACTAAGAACTTTCCGGAGAATATGAAGGCTCCCCAACACTGCAGCCTTCTGCATTACCCAGAGTGTCAGAAGGGCTGTACTCCCGGTGGAGAATCCGGGCACACTCCTGATCTGCGCCAAGAGATCAGGAGGTACCAAACCAAGGGCACCGAGAACAATGGGGAGCCTGGCGACAGTGTACTTGTGATGCAAGCGAGACATTTCAAAGGCGAGGTCCGCATATTTATCATGCTTTTCCTTAATCTTGCCAATCACATTGGTGTCAAAAGGGACAGAAAATGCGATGACATAAATAAATTCATTGGCTTTATCGAAAAGGACAAGATCAGGTTTGTTGACAGGAATTCTTCTGAGGCTGTATATGGGCCTATTCCAAAGAAGTTTGAAAGCATCATTTTCCATGACGCCCCGGACATGTTCAGGGTCGTACCATGGATGGATCTCGGAGTCAAAGCCACAGGCATGTCGGAGACGGTAGTAAAAGCAACGAGCCATGCCATCATGACTGTTGGACAGTCTCCGTGAATTCATTGCAAAGTCGACATTTCATATTGATATTTTCTTTAAGAATCACATTTAGGCGACTGTGACTGGGAAGTGACTGGTCCTGAGCAGCAAAAAGGAAGCCCTCAGTTTCACATTTAAGACCAGCCGACTTCATCCAGGCGAAGGAGTCGGTGGGATTGCTATTCTGTTCAACACACTGCATGTACACACGAGACTCGTACATCGGCGAAACCTCAAGACCCCTTCCTGTAAGAATCAAAGAACATCAAGCCTCTGTGAAGAAGAAAGACTCTAAATCCGCCATCTCTGACCACACCCAAGCTCACCCAGACCACAACATCCTTTGGAACAGCATCAATGTACTCACCAGCAATCACACCCACTACAAGATCAGAAAGCTAATAGAAGCCATTCACATCAAGAGACTCCAACCGGCCATGAACAGAGACCAAGGATATTACATCCCCACTGCCTACAACCAACTCATCACCAAGCAATCTTAATCCTATTATTCTCCTGTTTGTCATATCACTGGCTTCCTCCCTTAATCCCCCATAGCTTACTATGTTTGTGTAACTATTGGCCTCTTGTGTAAACATCCACCACCTTGTACATCTACCTCATTTATTGTGTAAACATCATCACTTACTGTTCAACATTACCATGTATATAAATATACCTTGCATCTAGTATTGTACATCATTTGCTTGATAACGGTGTTAGTTGCTACACCGAAACGTCGCTCATATCATATTAAAGAAGGTTGTATATCCATAGAACTCTCCTTGTTGTTCGACACGAGGTTTGTCAAACACTCTGTGAATATTTCGTATTGTGTATTCAAACATGTGATAGGGCGGAAGTTTTTGGGATCAGTCAAATCTCCTTTCTTGGGGAGAAGTATTGTGCGACCTTGCAGGACCATGGAGGAACATCACCTGTGTCCACGAGAGTATTGAAACAGTGTAGTAATAGTGTTTGGACACAGGGGAACAGTTTCCAATACCGGTTTCGAATGCCATCAGGCCCTGGAGCTGTATTAGATTTGGACTTTTTTATAACACTTTTCAGGCAATCTGGTGAGATGTAACAGACAAACGACCTAGTTACCTTCTCATGCATTGCATGGTCATAATCACGGACCCATGGTGCCTCAAGGTTACAGTTGCCGGGTACAGACCACAACTGCTTCCAGAACCTTTCATTGGCATCCATGGGAGGCCGTTTATCATGTTCACCATCACCCTTTGTTTTCAGTTGCCTGTAGAAGTGCTTTTCATTGTTTCTAAAAAGTTTATTTTGTTTGATGAATTTATTTTTCTTTTCCCATTTTTTCTTTCTTTCAGTCCAAACCTTTATTTTTACCTTAAGGGATTCGACAATTTGGAGAAGTACCTTTTCTTTTGTTGTCTTGTATTGTAATTTTAATTTTCTCCAAATTGCCTTTTGCCGTTTTGACATTGAACTCCCTGATGATCTTAACTTCAGGCACAGCTCTATCCAGGAAATGTATTTTCTAGTTTCTGTTAGTTTTACTTGAAACCGGTTTTTCTTTGGTGTATTGTTCTTAGTATTACATGTTTTTTCTTTGGAAAGTGTGTGAATTTCCTCCATGGTTCGAGCGGCAGCATAGACACAACAATTCACTTCATGTAATGAACAGTCCGATGAAAGTTTCCTAGAAATAATATCATTTAATAAATTGATTTCAGTTTGCATCAAACCATGGTTTGCGTATGTGCGGGTTTGCAGAGGACTTAGGAATGGTTTTGTCTCCAATGGCATGTAGTACGTCTGAAAATAGTTCCATGGGATCAGGAACATTCCTTAAATTTTCAGGTTAAATTTTTTTTCGGAGCAGAGTGTTTTGGATAATGGCCAATTGGTCTTAGTAAAATTCCACTTTGTTGAAGGTGGTTCATCCGCGGGATTGATAGGAGTAAGAATTGTTGGGAGGTGGTCACTTCCACAAGAGCAGAGTATGTTCCAGTGGCAGGATGGAGATAAGTGTTTGATCCATCGTTGAAGATGCATAGATCATTATTTGTGAGAAAATCTTCAAGAATCTTCCCCTTGTTGTTTGTATCGGAACTCCCCCATAGGGGGTTATGGCCGTTCAAGTCGCCCATTATTATGCAGGGCTGTGGGAGTTGATCATAGCGTCGTGCGGACAGCAACAGATTGTAGATTGGTGTTAAGTGGAACAGGGCTATGGAGGATGCCCTGCCTCACCAAGATAGAAGTGCCTCCTGTAGCTTTAAAACCGGGAGGAGAAAAGGAGTGGTAGGAACTGTACCGACAGATATCAAATTTATCAGTCCTTTTAGGTAGGTTTCTTGGAGACAAAATGCGGATGGTTTGAAGTCTTGAATCTATATACTAAATTGCTGTTTCAGAACCCCATGCCTCGTGTCATATTTGATTACTTTTAATGACTGAGTTCATTAATCATTAAGAACTGTGTTCTGTATGGCTAGTGAGTGAACTTGGTGGTAAGTGAACTCCACTTACTCGAACAGACTGTAATTGTGCAAGCACTCGACTGTTAATCCTAATCCGCTTATATCCAACTAAAGTGCAGGCAAAAAGAGAATACACCGTCTCTAATGGCTATCATGCAAATCAATCTACAGTCCGTTTCACAACATCAGAACGTGCACTGTGATGACTGCACGAGTAGCATGTATAGTCCGTTTCAAACGACAAAGCGCATGAGTCGATACATTTTCATTAGCCGATATGTAGACTTGCTTGCCATTTTATCCATCTTGTAATACCTAGCGAACTGACACATGAACAGATGATGCTATTAAAAAGATCCAAGGCAGTGCCGGTCAATACGTAGAAATTGTACAGCGTGTCAAACATCATGAAATCGACTAAACCCATTGAGGGGATTCCCCTAGCGCTGGAATTTTGTGAAAGATGATGTAACTTGAACCAGACACAATAAACATACCATGAATATTAACACAATAACAACACAACACAACATGTTGACAAGAAGTAATATTGAATACAGGCCACACAAAGCCAAGGAGGCTTTCCGAGAGAATCACCTTACACCAAGCGACAGTGATTGACAGCAAGGCACATACTGCGTCGCAGTACTGCAACCATGAAATCAAGATGTAATACGTCACACACTACTTACAGTGTAATGAATGTCCACTTAGGTCCTATTCTGTCCACCTCTTGCTGCTGTGTTGTCTACAGGTCAGTGCTCAACACCGCACGTATGTGACAGCGTATGAAACGCTTGATCTCCCACAGAAAAAGATGAAATTTCAATCGGTTGAACTGGGTGAATGAAATTGATTTCTCTTGTATGGGTAGACAAGTTATAAAGGGAGGTAATTCAAGGCAGAGGGCGCTGCTACATCGGGTAATTCAAGGCAGCGGTTATATATAGGGGTGAGACGCCCGGGGAGTTCAGTCTCTCCTGCGGTGTTTGTGTTAATTCATAACCTAAAGTTTTTGCCAGGTGCTTCATTTGCCATTACAATGGATCAAACAGAAGACATCAATAGGAATTTGGACAGTAGACGAAGAGGGAAGACGAGGAGGAAACAAATTGAGAAACTACAGACTTTTCAAAACAGACTATGAAGCAGAACGGTATGTTAAGTGCCAGCTTCCCCAAGGTCACCGAAGTGCTATAGCAAAGTTCAGATGCGGAGTGGCCCGATTAAGAGTTGAAACGGGAAGATATGGAAATATACCACACAACGAGAGACTTTGTTTTAATTGCCAAAATGTAGTCTAGGATGAAATCCATGTTTTACTTTGATGTCCAGCTTTTATCAGTATCAGAAAAGATCTTATACCAAAATATGTTCTTAATAACATTCATTTGAAGGATTTATCATGCCATGAAAGGCTTTCATAAGTTTTCACTTCCCCCGATGTAGTTTTTAGCGTTGCCAAAACCTGCCAAGATATTTTAGTTAAAAGACGTGAAGTTTTATATGGCTAATTGACATGATGATTTTATATAGCTGTAATTTGTAAATATATATTTTAGGAATATTTGATGTCAGTAATTGTTAAGATGTCTCTCATAAGTCGCTTATTCGTCTCCTGCAGCGCAAGACAGGCCTTTTCGTCAGAGGTTTCGTGGCGGCATTGGAGACGGGACTGTTTCTATCTTACAGGAGCCAAGAGCTGACTCACACAGCAAGGTGACCCGGGAAGCAAGTCAGCCACAGAGTAGACTAGGTACATTTGCTTCTTCAAAGATTGACCTTACAAACGAAATATTGTGGTTATGAAAGTGTAAAGACTGAAATTATAGTGAGGGGCCGTCTCGGACAATGTTTGCAGTTTTGGCGTGACATTAATGCTTCGGAATTTGTTTAGATGTCATTGAATGTGGATATAAGAGACCTTTTCATTCTTCACCATTACTGATGGAGTTAAGAAATAATCGTTCAGTTGTGAGTCATTCTGATTTTGTTTTTGAAGCTATTTCGGATCTTGTTCGGAAAGCGTTAGTCGTACAGTGTGAAGAAAGGCCACGTGTTGTTAATCCCTTGTCTGTGTCAATAGTGGTTTATTCAGCAAGAGACGTAGGCCATCGGTCCATGACACAGCAGTTGTACAGCAGCCACAATACCTATTGCCTACATTAACAAATTTGTTCTTAATTGCATGGAATTCTCAACATACACTGCCAACTTTCTTATAAGATTACTGTTCTCAATTGACATTAAAAGATTTAATTTAGCTAATGTTGGAAATACGTAGTATTTCCTAGGAATAAACTGTTCACGTAGATCGACATAAGCCTGGCATACTAACAAGAAGTGGTAGTCATCTTCCACATAGTTCATTTTACAATCATCACAAAATTGTTTATATCTTGGGACATTTGAATATCTACCCATCTCAATTTTCAGTTGGTGAGAACTACATCTAAACTTGGCTAAAGCGACACGAAAATTCCGAAGTTATATGCTTAATATAATGCTCTGGGTATAAGTTTAACATGTACATAGAATAATTATATGCTTTAGAACCTTGTGACAAAGATGTATGCCAAACTTGCTGATAAATACATATAGCTCTATCCATAAATTCTGATAAAAAAGACTGAATATTATCAATAAACTGGTTATCACAAACATAGTCAAATCCCATTTTAAATAACACATTTCTCAGTTTTGAAGCCCAATTACATTTACCATGACTCATATCTAATAGTAACATGTTATAACATTTCTTGGGCAAGCTTGAGTTTGGCATGGACAGCAGTTTATACCAATATTTTATACAACGCTTAATATATACCGGGTATCTCCCACACTCGCCACAAGCAACATGGTTTGAAGTTGACGTTTTCACACCAAGAAAATATTTGCATGCTTGAACATGATCTCCTTCAATAACACTGCTAATCTTACATTCAAAATCAAAGTCTAGTCCCCATATTTCAGAACCATACAATAAAACTGACATCACTTTACTATAAACCTTGAAGAAAACATCATATGGTAATGGTCTAAGCTTCGACAGACATTATAAAACACCAAATAATGCTTTTCTAGATTGCAAGAATGAACTAATAAACTGCTTATTCGAAGTATCGCTGGCACTTTGGAACAGGGTTTATCAGGGATATCTATAATATTCCTTGAGTTATGTGAATTGAATATCTCTCTAAGTAATGACCATGCTGTCAATGGAAATGAATCAACACAACATGACCATTGTCAGTATGGCCACCACTATAGAGTCCTTAGCTGACTATAATCAAAGTTAGACAAAGGCTGGTTGGCCACTGAAGCATGACGATGTGGATGAGGTGCGGGGTACTGCAGGCTGACCAGACATCTGTCGTCAATGCGACACGTGACAGTCTGATCAGAGCCTTAGGGATAAATTGAGAATGCTATGTGTTAGTCGAGACTTGACCCTGAGACAGCGACTAAGCAGGTTGGCTGACCATCGCCTCCGACATGCCGCCTAGTCATTGTTGTAACTTCATGTATGTATACACACTGAATCCAGAATAAAGTGTTGTGGACCCACTGATGGACTTTTGTCATTGAAGACATAGTTATCCCTCTTAAACAACCCGGGATACATGGTGGAGTCCAAGATCTCGGAACGTCTCAGCAACAAAGGTCTTGAGCGAACCTCCGGCGATATACATCCATCCTGGGTCCACATCACAACGGAAGTCAACCAACTACATGCAACAACATCAGACTAAGGGTTAGTCCTGAAGAGTAACTGACCACGACGTCTGTCAACTGTGTCTCAATTTGGACTCTTGGCTGTTTGAAGGACATGATCACAGTGCTATTGTGTGTGCACCGATGCCAAAACAAGAACTGGTACGTTGATGATTTGTACACAGCGCCTACATTCGATCACGCACAGTCGTCCAACAGCAAATACTGTGTACGTGTAAACGAAGACTGACTGAGGAGAAAACTAAGAACTACAAGTGTTAGTGACTTTTAGTGATATTTCTGTGTTTCTATTGTTATACACTACAGGGTGAGTGTTCATACGGTTTGGTTCATTCATTCATTGTTTTTTTTTCAGTGCCTTTCTTTTCTTCTAAATCCGATGACGGATCCTCCAGTAAATCATATTTTCCTTGGAGGATCCGCCGAAAATCTAAATGTAATGACATGACTCACGACAATACATCCACCCGCTCAGATTCTCCGTCTGCCCCTCAACACCCTGATCACCACTGCCGTATTTACAATCCCCATTGTTGTGGTCGTTGCTGTTCTCCCCCTCCATGCTCCTCCCCGCCCGCTGACCGTCACGCTGTCTGTCCCCAACCCCGTGTCAGCTTCACAACCCTTCCCATGCCATCATTCGACAGACGTGATTCCCGATCAGCACCTTCCTGGCTTAGTCGATTCCAGAAATTTGTCAAAATTCAAAATTACACTGATGAAAGAAATTGTTATCCTTTTCCCCCCTTATATTTATCACAGTCAGCTTCAATTTGGTATGAAGGACTTCCTAGTAAAGATAACATGACATGGCCTGAACTTAGACAATGTTTTTCACAATGGTATGGACCAACCTCCATCCAAGCCATCATTCGGAAAAATGCCCTGATTGACAGGAAGCAAGCAGAACGTGAAGACTTTCGTTCATTTCTTCAGTCTGTGCAGTATGAGGCATCCCTTTTAGATTGTAACGAGGATCAGTTTATAAAAGACCTCATTTTCAGAAACGCCCTCCCCCACATTGTTCAATTTATTGTCACCAGGCGCCATCACACTTTGTCGGACATGATTGAAAGTGTTCAGGTAGCAGAGGACATATACAAACTAGCAGGTACTGAGGGACTCATGTCTGTCAATTCACCCACGAACGTTCAGCCGAACAGACTGCAGGAGGAGAGACAAAACTCGGCACATTATTTTCAACCTTCCCCGAACAATGCTTTCCCACACCCCATTCCCTCACGCGGATACCCCCCACTCTCTCCCATCCCACCACCTCCCACCCCGCCTCCAACCTACCAGTCCCACACACACCCATACAAGTGTATCCATTGTGGGTTATACCATCTGAGTCCCCAGGAGTGTCGCCTCAATCCCCCCTACCCCGTCAATTGTTTTCCTGCACCACTAAATGCTTTCTTTGTCAATATGTTCAATTTCATGTCCATTTTCTGTATTCTATCGGTAGTAGCATACACATATTTGTGTATGTACCGTTCTATTTGTACCCTGTACCCCTGCCCAGCGTTTATCAATATGTACTAGCTTTCATGTACATTGATTTGATCGTCATTTCGCTGACATTTAAAGAGTGAATGTGTGTTCCAAAGAACAGCTTATAATGTCTTTTTGTGGTCAGCATGTAAATGCTATGCCCTTGAATTTGAATATAATGTTATTGCTATGTCCAATTATGGATATTATGTATCAAATGATACATGTGTGAGGCAAGGAGATGAGATACAAGAAGGGAGTTGTAATTGTGAGAGAGGCATAGAGAGAGAGATAGATTGAGAGAGAGAGAGTGAAAGAGAGACAGCGAGAGAAAGAGTACAGGAGAGAGAGAGAGAGAGAGAGAGAGAGAGAGAGAGAGAGAGAGAGACAGAACGTTCTTGTAACTGAGATTGAAAGAGAGAGAAACTGAGAGGTGACTGCTGTCTTATTGTTAGGATGATATAAACATGACGATCCATTTCATGTCCATGTTGATGCTATTTTGTACTTTCTGTTTCTGAAACACTTGTCATCGTACAGGTTATTCAGTGGACGATATTCATCTATAGTTGTTTCTTGTACCTGACTTACTTTGATTTAGTGCGTTATCCGTCTGTCAATATGTTGATTTAGAAAAATTGGTTCCGCGACA